GGCAATCTGGCAGTACTCAGCCCACAAGCCAATCATGGAACATTTTTCTTTTTATAAAGATTATTGTACCATGATTTGTTTGGCACACAGTTTGTCCTCAGACAAGTGTGAAATATATATATAGTCTTACGTGAAGACAGAATTCGGTTCAACTGAGCAGTCAACGAATCAATCCACATGGACAGTTCAATACTCATATCTGATTGGCAGAGACGAATCGACCTCGTCATAGAACAAGTTCGCATGACGCGCGTGTGTGGTAGCAGACAGAATCAGCCAATCAATCAACTAATCAGATCATGGAGAGAAACGGTGACAACAAACGTCAAGTAGAGTGAGAGATTACGAGAGAAACAATAAAGCTAGATCAAATGAGCTTTGTTTAGTCCGACGCTCATTTACGGACACCGGGGTTTACGGATTATTCTACTTGTGTGGATGAGTCTTCTCGCGGGCAACCTTTTTCTCCGCATTCTTTATGGGTTCTGTTTGTGAAAGAATTTGGGTGATGCCCGAGAAAAAGTAAAAAAAAGACTGGACCACTGTTGCGTCCGAGTTCCGAATGGCCAGCTGAAACACGAACTGCAAACGCTCGTTTTGGGAGTCGACACCTTTAACCTCTAAATCACAAGATGGAAACGAATTGCTCAAGGGAATTGGGGGACCCGCTCGCATAACAAACCGGATAAATATGCGGTCTGCTGATTCCCCGTGAGAGAGAGGGCTTTGCCCGTTCGTATCAGACAACCACAACAACGACAAGAGAAGAGGGTTATAAAAACAGCTCACTTTATCGGCCAAAACCATGATGCCATAATCGGATTTGCCACGGATTGCACGACCCAAACATTGAGCTGCATGCCGCATAGCATCGAACGTGATAAATTCATTGGGTTGAATGTTGTACTGTTCGCGCAAAAAATCCAATCGAGCCTGAAGATCAATCGAATCAATCACGATGCGTTAGAGTCGGAAGAAATAGAACAAGGCACAGCCAGGGCAAGTAGTTATTTTTGGTACCACAAAACTTCAGAAAATTTGATCCATTCAACGAATGAAATGAATAAAAACATGAAGTTTGACACAGCCAAAAAATCAGAGAGCACAATTCAGTAGTTCGCTTTGCTCATTAGAGACCGATTGATCGTTGACGGCTTCACCAGGCTCGCACTGATGTAATCCTTTTTCGTAAATTCATCGTCTTTTCTCGGATTACATTGTCACTTCCTGTCTTACCCAGCGTAAGCCGGAA